AAGTCTTGTTAAAGATAGTCATATAACCTGTCTCTCAAGTCTTGTTAAAGATAGTAATTTAACCTGTCTCTCAAGTCTTGTTAAAGATAGTCATATAACCTGTCTCTCAAGTCTTGTTAAAGATAGTCATATAACCTGTCTCTCAAGTCTTGTTAAAGATAGTCATATAACCTGTCTCTCAAGTCTTGTTAAAGATAGTAATATAACCTATCTTTCAAGTTTTGTTAAAGATAATAATATAACCTGTCTCTCAAGTCTTGTTAAAGATAGTAATATAACCTGTCTCTCAAGTCTGGTTAAAGATAGAAATATTACCTATCTTTCAAGTCTTGTTAAAGACAGTAATATGTAACTTGTCTCTCATGTCTGGTTAAAGACAGTAATATGTAACTTGTCTCTCATGTCTGGTTAAAGATAGAAATATTACCTATCTCTCAAGTCTTGTTAAAGATAGTAATATAACCTGTCTCTCATGTCTTGTTAAAGATAGTAATTTAACCGGTCTCTCAAGTCTTATTAAAGATAGTCATATAACCTGTCTCTCAAGTCTTGTTAAAGATAGTCATATAACCTGTCTCTCAAGTCTTGTTAAAGATAGTAATTTAACCTGTCTCTCAAGTCTTGTTAAAGATAGTAATATAACCTGTCTCTCAAGTCTTGTTAAAGATAGTAATTTAACCTGTCTCTCAAGTCTTGTTAAAGATAGTAATATAACCTGTCTCTCAAGTCTTGTTAAAGATAGTAATATAACCTGTCTCTCAAGTCTTGTTAAAGATAATAATATAACCTGTCTCTCATGTCTTGTTAAAGATGGTCATATAACCTGTCTCTCAAGTCTTGTTAAAGATAGTAATATAACCTGTCTCTCATGTCTTGTTAAAGACAGTAATATAACCTGTCTCTCAAGTCTCGTTAAAGATAGTAATATAACCTGTCTCTCATGTCTTGTTAAAGATAGTAATATAGCCTGTATCTCATGTCTTGTTAAAGACAGTAATATAACCTGTCTCTCAAGTCTTGTTAAAGCTAGTAATATAACCTGTTTCTCATGTCTTGTTAAAGCTCGTAATATAACCTGTCTCTCAAGTTTTGTTAAAAAAAAGTAATATAATCTGTCTCTCAAGTTTTGTTAAAAACAATAATATAACTTGTCTTTCAAGTCTTGTTAAAGATACTAATATAACCCATCTCTCATGTCTTGTTAAAGATAGAAATATTACCTGTCTCTCATGTCTTGTTAAATATAGTAATATAACCTGTCTCTCAAGTTTTGTTAAAGATAGTAATTTAACCAGTTTCTATTGTCTTGTTAAAGCTAGTAATATAACCTGTTTCTCATGTCTTGTTAAAGACAAAAATATAACCCATCACAAGTTTTGTTAAAGACAGTTATATAACCTGTCTTGCAAATCTTGTTACATATAGTAATATAACCTGTCTCTTGTGTCTTGTTAAAGACAAAAATATAACCCATCACAAGTTTTGTTAAAGGTAGTAATATAACCTGTCTCACAAATCTTGTTACATATAGTAATATAACCTGTCTCTTGTGTCTTGTTAAAGTTAGTAATATATATATATAACCTGTCTCTCAAGTCTTGTTAAATATAGTAATATAACCTGTCTGTCAAATCTTGTTAAAGACAATAATATAAACTTATTAAAAGACAGTGAAAAACTAATATAAATGTTGTCAGAAAGGAAAGGAACAGGAGGCAATAGCAGTGCTTGAAGGAATATATCAAAGAAACAAACCTGATCTAAGTAAAAAAGTGGCATATAAGGTAGGCTTTTAATATTCTATATCAATCATATAAACACCGTCATATATGGTAGGGTTAATATTCTGTATCAGTCATATAAACAGTGTCATATATGGTAGGTTTAATATTCTGTATCAATCATATAAACAGTGTCATATATGGTAGGGTTAATATTCTGTATCAATCATATAAACAGTGTCATATATGGTAGGATTTAATATTGTATATCAATCATATAAACAGTGTCATATATGGTAGGTTTAATATGCTGTATCAGTCATATAAACAGTGTCATATATGGTAGGTTTAATATTCTGTATCAATCATATAAACAGTGTCATATATGGTAGGGTTAATATTCTGTATCAATCATATAAACAGTGTCATATATGGTAGGGTTAATATTCTGTATCAGTCATATAAACTGTCATACATGGTAGAGATAATATTCTGTATCAATAATATAAAGTGTCATATATGGTAGGGTTAATACTACATCATTGTGATAAAAGATGCCGTAGGGAGCGAATATTACATCATTATGATATAAGTTGCCTTAGGGAGTGAATATTACATCAATATGATAAACGTTACCTTTGGGAGCGAATATTACATCATTATGATAAACGTTACCTTTGGGAGCGAATATTACATCATTATGATATAAGTTGCCTTAGAGAGTGAATATTACATCATTATGATAAAAGTTGCCTTAGGGAGTGAATATTACATCAATATGATAAACGTTACCTTTGGGAGCGAATATTACATCATTATGATAAACGTTACATTAGGGAGCGAATATTACATCATTATGATATAAGTTGCCTTAGGGAGTGAATATTACATCAATATGATAAACGTTACCTTAGGGAGTGAATATTACATCATTATGATAAAAGTTACATTAGGGAGCGAATATTACATCATTATGATATAAGTTGCCTTAGGGAGTGAATATTACATCAATATGATAAACGTTGCCTTTGGGAGTGAATATTACATCATTATGATATAAGTTGCCTTAGGG